AGGTTGAGGATGAGCCTAGGGAAAAGAAACAAAATCACAGAAATATCTGTGATTCATGCTTTTTCCAAAAAGGGTTTGGGGACACACTATTTAAAGAGAAAATAGTGGGGAGTAGGGGGACAAGGGAAGAACGAAAAGGGGAAGGTAAATAATAGAAGCAAGCAGTTGCACTCTTTTGAAGCTTTGATCAATTTCACTGAATTTACATTTTACCTGTGAAAGGAGTGGGTGGAGGAATAGTTAACCATTGTTTGACTAGTGCTTAGTGAATCTTTATTTTTATACAAGGTTAAGTAAACATAGAGTAGAGGAAGAAGTCAAACATGCATGTGCCTCAGGTGAGTGGACGGATGACTTCTAGTTCTGCCTTTGTCCTGTACCTGTGAAGATAAGCTGTTGATTTGTTTTCTCAGGGAGAAAGTCAGTAGAATTCCATTTTATGGTAGGATGTTGGGGCCCACAAGAGACTTCCTATGAGAAAAGTGTAAGAGGGGCCCTCTGAGATGGTATATACCTTCTATCTTTGCGGTTATCTATTCCAGAACAAAATGGAAGCAGTTGTATGAGACTCGGTCCCCAGCCTAACTTTTCCCTTTGGCACAGTGAGTGGGGGTCCTGAGATTTTATTTTACTTTCATGATTGGAACAGATTTAAAAATCTTTTCCTGGTTTTTAAAACAATATGTTAGTGTCCAAAAAGTATTAATGCATTACTTTTTATTTTTTGTATTGTTTATTTTATTTTTTAACATTTTTATTGACATGAATATACTAAGCACTTTTTATTATTTGTGTGATTTCATGACTATTTCCAAAACTAATTTTATCATGTAGAGGAGGGGGGTATTAAAAAACGATCTCTGACATACACTGGGTATAGGCTCCTGGTACTGATTGTGAAAAGTAAACCCTTTCTGTTAATCAAAAGTCACTTGGCAAAGTTTCCTCATCTTCTACTCACAAAGTGGTTTAACAAAAAAAGTATAGAAATTGGGATCTATCAGAATACCTCTTTACAGTTTCTAACTTATTAAACTCTAAGTAAATTACAGTGTTAAGCTTTATTTTTTTTTCAAGTGTTTGGAGACAATGCAACTTAAAACAATGGTCTTCAAGCTAGAATGTGCATATGTCTGAGTGTTCTCCTGCACAGAGAATTTTACAGAAATACGTTTTCCCATCCTCTCTTAACAGTGATTCTTCTCCCATATATAAAAAAGTGTTAACCTGTTACCCATTACAAATCTTAGCATAGAATGTATGCTGGTGTGTAACAGCCTCAGGGCTCCTAACATAGGCATACAAATTATATATTGCTTAAGACTCCTTTAAGAATTAATAAAAGTTCCTAAAATCTCATCTTGCCCTGCTATATACATGTTAATAGCTAGGGTAAAGTTTGGTGTTAGATAGAGGGTATTTGGCCCTTGCTTAGGAGTGAATTGATAAAGTCTTATGTAGAATAATAAAATTTGTTATTTTACATGTAACTGGACTATTTGTTAGGACTTCCAGATTTTTGGTTATTTGAACACAGTCTACAGATAAAAATTTTAAATGATTTCTACAGGTGTATTTTAGCCAATAAAGTAGTTAAAATTTTATGTAAATATATGAAATATTTGTTCCTATTACAATAAATCCTTATCCTGTTTTAACTCATAAATATAATAATATGTAATATGTTTGTGATAATACAATTTGATATAAAATATAACATTGTTCATCTCCTAAAAATAATAAATAAATAAATATACTTAGGATTATGGCTAACAATGTAGACATATGCAAGTTGCATATATAAGTTAAAATACACAGCTTTTCAAATTTTGTTTAGATAGCACATTAACTAAAATGTTTGAAGATCATTGGCTCTAAGAACTAGAAAATATCTTGAGTTATTTTCCTGATCTGTCATTAATTTGCTGAGCATTGCTGAGTATGATGTTTACATTGGGAATCCAAATTATCTATCTATTAAATTAGACTTTGGGAGTTGGAGATAATCTCTAATGCCTGTAAACTGATATTGTCTTAGTTCTTTGTTCCCCAAGGGAAAATACTTTTCTTATAATTAAGAATTTTTCTGTTCTACCATTATAGCCTCTAAAATATTAAATCTTTTTTTGTTGTTGTTGGTCTGGGTACTTATTATATCTGAGTTAGGTTATACTATCATTTTTTTTAAATGTCATCTAACACAAAAGTTGTAATCATTGATGTGAGATTTGAGCCATGCCAAATGGATTAGGTTTTCATACCAGAAGTTATAAAAGTACTTAGATCATAGGCTATTAAAGATTTTTGAACATCTTTTTCTTTTTAATTTAGCTGTTTACAGTTACTACTTTCCCTATAAGCACTGGTTTAGCTGTATCCCATAAGTTTGGTGTGTTGTGTCTTCATTTTCATTCATCTCAAAGTATTTTCTAATTGTCTTTATGATTTCTTCTTTGTCTTGTTTGTTATTTAGGTGTGCATTGATTAATATATATATATATTTGTGAATATCCCAATTTTATTTTGATTATTGACCTCTAATTTCATTCTATCGTGATTGATAAATGAATAATTTAAAATATTTTTAACCTATTTTATTTTGTATGTGGCCTTGTAGATTGTCTGTTCTAAGAGAATGTGCCATGTGCACATGAGAAGAATGTATATTTTGCTGTTGTTGAGTAATGTATTCTAAAGATGTTTGCAAAGTCTAGTAGGTGTACAAGGATGTTTAAGTCTTCTATGTCTTCTATTTCCTTGTTTATTCTCTGTCAGTTTATTCTATTGATTACTGAAAGTGGGGTATTGAAAAATCTAACTATGTAGGTTAACTTATATCTTCTTAATAGACTGATCATTTATGCAATATAAAATGACCATTTTTGTAATGTCAAGTAACATATATTGCTTTAAAGTCTACGTTGTCTGAGATTAGGATATCTACTCCAGCTTTCTGAAGGTTGACACACCTTTTTCCATTCTTTTACTTTTTACCCATTTGCATCTTCAAATCTAAATTGTGTCTTCTATACACAGCATATAGTTGGATCTTTCTAAAATAATCTATTCTGATAACCTCTGCCTTTTGATTGGATTGTCTAATCCATTCCAATTTAATTATTAATATAGATTTGCATCTACCATTTTACTTTTTGTTTTCTCTATGTCTTATACCTTTTGTCCTAAATATACCTTCGCTTGTGGCAGGATTATATCAATCTCTACTTCTATTTCACATGGTCTTTTTCTGCTGTATCTCTGTGTGTTCTCTCCTCTTCTTATAAGAACTTCAGTCTTTGGATTTAGGGCTCATCCTAATGAAGTATAATCTCAACTTATCTAATTATATTTGTAATGACCCAATTTTTAAATATGATCACTCTGAGATTCCAGTAGACTTGAATTTGAGGAGATACTATATAAATGTTTGCTTTTTAAAAGAAAAGTTTGCTTTTTAAAGTAAATATTTTCCACCAGTTATGGTTGGTTTTGGATCACTTTGAGGTTCCAGAAGACTTGAATTTGAAGATATACTATGTAAATGTTTGCTTTTTTAAAGAAAAGTTTGCTTTTTAAAATAAATAATTTTTCACCAGTTATGGTGAGTTTTGTAGGAGATAGAGTATATGGACTTCCTCACTTTGCCATTCTGGAAGTAATGCCTACATTTTCTTTCAATCAAGGATAACTGCAACCAATTTTTTTTTTCTTTTTGTTAGAACACATGCTACTTAAAATAGTATGAGGCAATAGTATTGAAAATGATTTTTTTGGGGGAAAAGATTGATTTCTTTTGACTTTTTAGGACCTTGATACGTATCTTGAGTTCTTGAAATACTGATAATCATACCAATGGGCTGTAACATCTACTATATATTGAGAACCAGTTCTAGAAGTCCCCATAGGAATGAAACACAATGGAGTACTTATCACCTTATCTGATATAACAACAAATGTATGAAGTAGATGATATTATCTCATATTCTAAATATAAAAATCAACACTAAGAAGGCTGAGTGACTTGCCTAATAACTAAGTGATGTGTCTTAAGAAGCCTTCCCTTCCCAGCAAAAATCCTATGTGTGATCGTTTAGGCTTCACCACAGGCAATTACAAAGCTTTGCCTGAAGCCTAGTGGTGGACAGTTGCTCTTCTCTAAGAAGATTTGTTGTACAGTCAATGGACTACAGTTTTCTGGAATGAGTTCAGTCAAGGACTCAAGACAGTGGCAGTAGATCGTTGAATCAAATATATCTCTCTTCTGAGCTCAGGGCTCTGTGCAACTGCACTGATCACAGACCCATGGAGTTAGCCTTGACTCTACTATGGTAAATAGCTCATCATGTACACTAGAAAATTTTGTATCTTTATGTGTTTGCAAAAGAGTTCTCTCTTCCAGTTCTTCTTCAAGCCACTTAGAAAGCTCTAGTCATCTTTTAATACCCAGAAGATTTCCATAACATCCAAGATACAGACTATTAATCTGGTCTGTGGGATTTCAGAGCCCTTGCACATTGTTTTGTTTTATTGTGTAATTACCATATTGCATTGTGATTGTTGATGTTTCTCTTTTCTGCTAATTAATGAACTTCTAATGTGCAGCAATCAAGACGTTTACATTGGGCCAGGTGCAGTGGCTCACATCTATAATTTCAGCACGTTGGGAGGCCAAGGCAAGTGGGTTGATTGAGCCCAGGAGTTTGAGAACAGTCTGGGCAATGTAGTGAAACCCCATTTATTTTACATCTATTTAATGACAGGATTTGGAATGCTACCTAGAATACAATTGTGGAAGGAAGAAAGAAAAGACGGAAAATAAGTGAAAGAAGAAATTAATAAACTTCTTTGCTCCCTTAAATTTGTACTTTTAAGTGCAATTTAAAAACTCCAGTGGTTTTACTATGTTAATTTCCCATGAGAAAATTTTTTGTCAGTCATCCAAGAAAGATTATGTTAGTAAATTTATACAAACAAATTATTTTTTAAAAAGTAATTTTTACCTGTTCAAATTACAAAATGTTACAGCTGGGAACTCCATCTTTTCCACATACTGAACCTCAATAGATGTTGTTGTTGGCCATGTGAAGTAGTTGACTAAGCGACTGTAGATCTGCCATATCACAAGTAAGACTGAGCCCAGGACCACCACCAACCAGAGCACCTTGCGAATTTTGCTCCGGTTCTGAACAATATTGTGTACCCCATGAAAGGAAGTGGAGATGGCAAAGTCATGGTCAAACTTCTTTCGGTCATTGGGAGATGGCAGCGGTTTCTTTGAAAGGCAAAGCTTTATCTTTTCTAAGAATCCTTAAGGTTTTGCCCATAAAATAATTAAACAAAAAAAGTAATTAGTTACGAAACCTTAATGCTATCTGTAAAAAAAAAAACACAACTTACATAAATTTAAACAGGTGACTCTTTTTATGTCATAGAAGCTAAATATTCATCTTTTGTTGCATGATTTATTCAGGAATGAAGAAGTGTAAGTGTTGGCTACATGAGTTTATAGAGAAGATGCTAATGCTATTCATAGAATGCCTATTATTAATTTAAATGTGTTAGTAGCATGATATTAATATTTGACTTCCAGCTTTAAAATCAGTCTACCTTCAATGAGTCGGTTACAGCAACTCATAAACTTTAAATATTAACTCTTATTTTTAAAATGCTGTTTCTCTCTGAAAGTCCTCTAGAAGTCATGAACAAAATCAGGTTTATTCCTCTGATAGTCATGAATGTGGCTAAAAGTAATCTGTTCTTAACTAATGTTTGTCCTATGATGGTATAATTTATGGTAAATGTAACTTTCATTCTTGTATTCTTTAATGTACAACTATTTTAGTTCTTGTTCCTTGTTTAGTCAGAATGTTTAGTATTCAGTTGTAGTATTAGTTAAATAATCTATTTTCAACCTCTTCAGGAAATGAATTCATCCTTTCAAGTCTGTCAGGAATCAATCAATAATATTTATTGATATTCATTGGTAAGAACCAGGGAAGGTAACACTATATTTTTTGGCAATATATAATATGTTCATAATTTTATTTTGATTAAATCTTTCCATTTGTTCATAGGAGAAGAGGCAAAGAATCCTTCTGTTGAGGGAAAGGTGCAATACAGTTAAGAGCATGAGATGCGCTTCACAATGGAAGATCACACTTCTGGACCATTCCTTTCCTCTTATAACCTGCACAATTTTAGCTGGGTTTCTTAGTCTTATACCTTTTCTGTAAAATGGCAGCAATGGTATCTGGCTTATGAGTTTGTAGTATTAAATATGGTAACACCTGGAGAGAGCGTAACACATTATCTAGATCATGATAAGTACTTAAGGATATTAGATATTTTTATTATTCTGCTAATTTAGTGTGATGTGGTAAATAGTAAAATATTCAGGAATTTTAAAATACTTTGAAAGAATCTTAAAAATTAGTTATTCAGTGAGAACTCATGGACACAGGGAGGGGAACATCACACACTGGGGACAGTTGAGGGTGGGGTTTAGGGGGAGGGATAGCATTAGGAGAAATACCTAATGAAAATGTGGGTTGATGAGTGCAGCAAGCCACCATGGCACGTGTATACCTGTGTAACAAACTTGCACATTCTGCACGTGTACCCCAGAGCTTAAAGTATAATAAAAAAATTAGTACTTAATGGCTTTATATATATTCATAATTAGGTGAATTAACTTTTATATCCTTTACCAAAAATAATACTTTTTGAATACCTATATTCAATACTACCATTTAATGTACGACCTATATTCAAAATAATACTACTTGAACACCTATATTCAAAAAGTGTTATTACTCATAAGAAGTTTCAATCTCCACTTATTTTTAAATCATTATTTAATACAACATAAATAACCAATTAGCTAAGCTTTTTATTTATAGGACATATGCTATAAAAAGGTGTCTATTAACATTTTCTAAGGAAGTCCATTTTATTCACTCACAAATTATATTATGATTATTTTTACAAATTACATTATGATTATTATTCACTCAGCAAGAGAGCTTGTATCAATATGACTAGACTAGCTGGACATTGGACTAAAATCTTAGAATAGCACCCTTATTAATTTTTTTTAGTATAAAATTAATGAACATGTATCAAGTAACTGGCATAATTTCAGAAAAAAATCAAAAACAAGAAAAAAGTTATTGTTACTCATTAGCAAAATATAATTAAATATGCTCTTTTGTGTATTTAGTCATGACTTGCAAACATATGTGAAGAATTTACTCTGATAAAAGAACAACTCAGTCTCTGGATAACTTGTTCCCTTCCTACAATAAGGATCAAAGCTATTAGAAGGGAAAGACTCATCTAATGATTAGTTACTGACAAGCAAAGTATGGCTGGTTGCAAGCATTACCCAAAAATAAATAAGTCTCAAGTTTGTCTGTCAAAAATCAGTCCGTATAATATAGATCTAATCCTTGACAATTGGTTTGGAGTTGCTGTAGTATTATCTGCTGTTTTCTAGTGTTTTAATAGAGCTTTTTTTTTGTAGTAATGTTTTAGGTGAACGTATGATGATCAGGAAGATTAGAATTGATTTAATAAATGGTCCATCAATTTGCAAAGCAGAAACGTCTTACTTTCCTGACTGAAGTATATACAGTGTAATTATGACAGGTAGAGCTTGCTGATCAACATAGAAGCATTTGAGGAACATCGAACAAGTTTTATTTTATTTTAAAAACAGAACCTGTAGGACCATGATAAATAGAAACCAAAAGAAATTAAACAAACAAAACCAGATTCTAACATATAATAATATTTAAAAACCATTTTGAGTCCCTCATACAAACTACTTTTTTCCTAGGTAACTAACACTATTTTTTTTAAACTTATATTACTTGTATTGTGTTAAACTAATATTGGAAATCAAAGTTCCCAAATGAAGAAAAAAATCCCTTTCTCTTTTCTTATTTCTGGCCTCTAGAAATGAAAATTATTACTGCTCTGAGGAGTTCACTCTTTACTCACCTTTCTCAGCATATACTTTTGATTTTTCTGTCTGCTCCATTTGTGATTTCAGTTAAGCGAGAGTCCTCAGGGTAACCCAATTTTCATCAATAACAATATTCATTTTGTGGCCTTTATATAAAATACAGCAGTTGAGGTTGTAAAACATGGAGGCAATTAAAATGTTTGTGTTGCTATGTTTTGCCTCATAAAGCACATAATCTGAAAACCAAAAACGTTGACAGAACCAGGTATGGGCATTTATGGACTGATGAGAAGCTAACCCAGAGTGAAAAGCAAAAAATATCATTAGGAATCAATTTTCTCACAGTTAAAGTAACAATTCCTAACAAATATCTGTAGTTTAACAGGTGCCGCTGTCCAGACTAGTTGACACTCCGATGATTCACCTAGGACAGTCTTTGTAGCTTTTCTTTTTACCTTTGTCTTTATTCAACTTCGAATTAAAACACAGCTGGAATAAATTTTTTGTGTGGGAAAGGCGTCTTCCCTTGTTAATGTTTCTTTCTGAGTAACAAGCTGTTTCTATCAGAAATAGTAGCCAATAAATATAACAAAATAAAACACCAAAAAATATCTGCTCAGAAGGAAATGATTATTGAAAGCAAAAAACTTACTAAAACATGCAGGCTAATTATTTTTTATATGAACACTTTTGGAAAATTGTTAAAATTTATTATATCAAATAATAAACTGAAGAATGTGCATTATTGTGCATAAATGGCACCATCTCTTGACAGAACACAGTGATTACATGTATCTCTACTTTATGGAACTTGTTAGAGTCACCATTTTATAAGCATCTAACCATTAATCATTAATATAGTTACATATATTTTGCATATATTTGAAAACTTGTAAACTCAACACTATAAGTTCAAACTAGTCTTATACGGAGGCAAAATAATTCCAAGTGATGTAAGTAAAGAACCTGGTTAGAGGTCCCTGGTCATCACAGTAAAGATTTTAGGAATAGGATTCATTTCATAATATACAAATTTCTCCATTAAAGAGCTCTTCTTTGGGGTTAAATTTATGTATCAGTCTGTTCTCACACTGCTGATAAAGACATACTGTAGACTGGATAATTTCTAAAGACGTTTAATTGACTCACAGTTCCACATACCTGGGAAGGCTGCACAATCACAGTGGAAGGTGAAAGAGGAGCAAAGTTACATCTAACATGGTGGCAGGCAAGAGGGCTTGTATAAGGGAACTTCCTTTCATTAAACTATCAGATCTCAGGAGACTTTTTCATTATCATGAGAACAGCATGGGAAAGACCTGCCCCCATGATTCAATTAACTACCACTAGGTTCCTCCCACAGCACATGGGACTTATGGGAGTTATAATTAAATATGAGATTTGGGTGGGGACACAGCCAAACCATTTCATTCTACCCTTACTCCCTGCCAAAGCTCATGTCCTCACATTGTTCAAAACCAATCATGCCTTCCCAAAAGTGCCCCAAGTCTTAATTCATTTCAGCATTAACTCAAAATTTCACAGTCGAAAGGCTTATCTGAGACAAGACAAATCCTTTCTGCCTAGGAGTGTGTAAAATTGAAAGCAAGCTAGTTACTCCCTAAATACAAGGAGGTACAGGTATTAGGTAAATACACCCATTTCCAAATGAGAGAAATTGGCAAAAACAAAGGGGCTACCAGGCCCATGCAAGTCTAAAATTCAGTAGGGAAGACATTAAATCTTGAAGTTCCAAAATGATACCCTTTGACTCCATGTTTCACATCTAGGTCATGCTGATGCCAGAGATGTGCTCCCATGGCCTTGGGAAGCTCCACCCCTGTGGCTTTGCAGGGTATAGCCCCCCTCCTGGCTGCTTTCTTGGGCTGGCATTGAGTGCCTGTGGCTTTTCCAGGTGCATGGTGCAAACTGTTGGTAGATGTAACATTTTGGGGTCTGGAGGACAGTGGCCCTCTTCTCACAACTCCACTAGGGAATGTCCCAGTGGGGACTCTGTGTGGGGGCTCCAATCCTACATTTTCCTTATGCGATGCCCTAGCAGAAGTTCTCCATGATGGCCCTGCCCCTGTAGCAAACTTCTGCCTGGACATCCAGGTGTTTCCATACATCCTCTGAAATCTAGGCAGAGATTTCCACATCTCAATTCATGACTTCTGTGCACCTCAGGCTCAACACATGGAAGCCACCAAGGCCTTTTGAATTGCACCCTCTGAAGCCATGACCTGAGCTGTGCCTTGGGCCCTTTAGCCATGGTTGAAACAACTGGGACACAGGACACCAAGACCCTAGGCTGCACATAGCAGGGGATCCTGGTCCCAGCCCACAAAACGTTTTTTTTTTTTTTTTTTTTTTTTCCCTCCTAGACCTCTGGTTCTGTGATGGGAGGGACTGCCATAAAGGTCTCTGACATGTCCTGAATATATTTTCCCCATTGTCTTGGTAATTAACAAATAATAAAATGAAAGAAAGCTGCTTCTTAATTTTATTTGCTCAAATTTATTCCTCACTTCTATAATATTTAAAAACAATAAAAGTATTTGCTCTTTCTCACACAAATCCAGTAACTTCTCATCTCTATATTACTTTAAAATGAACTTTTAAACACTTTCCTCCTTTTCTCTTTAGCTTTGAAGGTACTTCATTCTCACTTCTACCTTATTACTGATCTTGGTAAATTTAAATTTCATTTTCTCTGTTGAGTTAAGAAATCTTCCATTTTCCCTCATCTCCCTTATTTGAAATCAAACCCCGTATTCTCTTCGCAGTTGTACCTTACTTCTTCTTTGCACCCTCAAGTTTCTTAACTTTCTAAGATATCTCATTAAAAACAAATATAGAAATGTCCACTTCTCTTCTTTCTAACTTCTTCTGACCATTAAAGTTGCTTTGACTAACAAATGTGTTTGACAGAGGCAGATTTTCATTGAGAGGGACTTGTATAAAAATAATAAGAAAAATATTTCAAACAGGTAGATTTCAAATTTTCTTTCCTCTCCATACCACCCGAATACCTACACACATAGAGGCTGGTAATTAAATGACAAAACCAAACCCAGTGAAAATCTAGACAGTTCTGAATAATCACCCACTACTTCTGAACAGGTGGCATCAACAACAAAAAACACCACCTATTAGTGTTAATAAATGCAAATGATTAAATTAAAAAACATGCATAGAAAAACAAAGCAACTAACCTTTCATCTGACTCTGAATTTGAAATTAGAGCCTAAGCAACATTAAAAATCAATATGCAAGTGTTTAGAGAAGTATATTCTTTCTGACCCATTACCAGTTATAAAGACGTATAAATGTGTGTTATTCAACTATTTCCTGTTAATTCTATTTTTTTAAAATTCTCATGTACTTTAATTTTGAGTCTAAGGTATACAAAAAACTTTACTATTTTTAAATTAAGATTTTATATTTTATTTTCTGTTGGGGGTGATACATGGCCATTAATAATGCTGCAATTACTCTTTTTAGATTTAGACAGACAAGGTAGAGCCTACACATCCTGCAAACAAATATAATTTAAGGACTACCTTTAATCTCAGAAAGAAAAGCCAAAGCAACCTCACGACTTAGAATGTTTTGAAAGTAATAAATAGTTCATTCATGTCTTGCTTTAGGTCTGTAATAATACAAGAGACAGAACAAATAGAGCCATTTTCTGTTAGGAACTATGCGTAAGTGGTGTTGGCTAGTGTTTTTATTATAATATTTGTATAAAGCTCTAGGTGGAAGAAATTAGCCAAGGTATATCTATTCAAAGCAAACAAATTCATGCATCTGAAATAATTGCATGTAGTGGAGAAAGAGACTACAAAATATCAAATCCAATACTTATTACCATTCCCCGCCCTCACCCAAAGAACAAAGGAAGCTCAGAAATTAGGAGAAAGAATGGAAGTTCTACAAAGGAACTGTTTGCCTGTTTTGTTTAGCTATCCAACTACAAAGAAAAATGATGCTCATCGAGTGACTAAGTTTGTCCCGGGGATGATTATCCCAGAACTTTGGAAGGCCAAGGTGGGTGGATCACTTGAGGTCAGGAGTTCAAGACCAGCCTGGCCAACATGGGGAAACAGTGTTTCTACTAAAAATGCAAAAATTAGCTGAGTCTTGTGGTGTAAACTTGTAATCCCAGCTACTCAGGAGGCTGAGGCATGAGAATCACTTGAATCCAGGAGGCGGAGTTTGCATTGAGGTGGAATCAGGCCACTGTACTCCAGCCTGGGTGACAGAGCAAGATTCTGCCTCAAATTTTTTTTTTTTAACTTTTGTCCTTTTTTATTACGCATTATGATGAAAATTATTGTAATTTTTCAAACATTTTATTTGAAAAAGTGTGAACTTATGGTCAAGTTACAAAAATTGTACAAGGAATACCCACATATATTTCTCTTTAATTCAATGACTTTTAACATTTTCCCATATTTGCTGTATCTTCATTATTAAATGTATGAACCTCCTATCTCTTAAGCAGGATATCCTCCTGTATAAATACAATATAGTGATCTCGTTCAGAAAATTTAACTCTTACTTAGCACTTTATTTAATATGCAATCCATATTCATATTTTCCAAGTTTCTCAAATTAACTTTATGACGTTTAATTTTCCTCATTCAGAACACAATTGAGAATCATAGCTGACATTTAGTTTGCATGTTTATTTGGTCTTCTTTAATTCACAAAAGTTTCCTAGACATTAATTAATTTTTTTAATTTTTTGTCTTCTCATTACATTGCTGTTTTCAAAGAATCTGTCTCCGAGAAGTTGCAAAATGTTTTTCAATTAAGAGTTGTTTTCTTCTTCATGATTAGGTTCAGGTCAAATACTTACAGTAGGAGTAATATATAGGTGATACTGCATTCTTCACAGTGCATGTACGTATCAGGAAGCATGTGATCTCACATTCTGTATTTAGTGACAGTAAGTTTGATCTCTTGATTTAAAAAGTGTCTGCAAATTTTCTACTTTGTAAATATAACTTTTTCTTTTTGTAACTAACAAGTAATCTGTAGAGGTAATTATTTCAGATTAGAGTATTTTGTTCCCAATCTTTGACATAATGTTATTAGCATAAATTAATGAACCCTGTCTG